CTTTTAATGTTAATTGTTTAGTTTTTTGGGGGGATGTTGTGTGGTTCTTTTCCATGTTTTGGTGTCATTTGAGCGACCAGCTCGCCAACAAGCGTATGCTCAGTTGTGTATCGGTCTGCCTTCCGTAATTGTATGTTCTCTCTTTTTCTTTTTTGCTCTTTAAGATTATTTTAATTTAAGTCTATATTTTTGGTCACAGAAAAACATAAAAAATTGAAAAAAATCTGTGTTTCTGTCACGATCGCTAGAAGGCGAGCAGGGAAGCAGGGGAGAGGAGCCAGGAGGTAGGGTAAAACCGGGGATTTATTGAGGAAAACCAGGACTGGGGAAGTACGACAGCGAACATTGATGACAAATCTAGGGAAGACTGACTGAGACGAGGACTAAATACACAGGACTAGGCAAACGGAACAGGCAACAGGTCAGAACAATCAGGGATGAACACGAGGCAATAAGGTGGGCGTGGCACACATTAGGATCAGACGGAGCTGGGCGTGACATAACCCCCCCCCCCCNGTAGTCTTTGTTTTCCCTATTTGTAGTTTTGACCCCTCATGGTCTGTTTGTTCTGTAGTGTTCCCAGTGTTTTCTAATTCTGTTAATAAACCCCTTATGTTCCTGTGGAGCCACCAGTGGATCATCCATTTCTATCCTGCCTGCACCATGCCTCACCCTTGTGAAAGAAACTCACAACAGAAAGTCACCATTGCGTGTGAAACAGCAGTGACCCTGTGCAACTTTACTACCATGCTATACTGACAATACTGTCATGTTTCACTCATCCCCATGTCCTCCCTGTATAACCAATGGTTTCCATTTGCACCTGAACTTCTCCAGGTGATGCTGTCGTTCTCCGCTGGCTTGACACAAAACAGAGTGGCAGAGAATGGGGAGCGGGGTATTCCACCAAAGACATCTTTTTCCATTAGCTAGATTTCTTAATAATAAAATAATAATTGATTCTTTATTGATCCCTGTGGGGAAATTGTCTTTATGCCTTCCTCAGCTTGCTCTACTTTGTAGAGTAAGCTGTCTGTGAAGGGCAGCCATCCGTAGCAGTGCCCAGGGAGCTGGGAGTTAAGGGCTTTGCTCAAGGACTTGCAGACATGCTGAGGCTGGGTTTGAATTGGTGACCTTCTGAGTACAAGCACACAGGCTTAGCCTGCCCCTCCATTTCTTAAATTAAATATAAGGATTGTCCAAAAGGAATGTCGCTTACCTCTCATTCTTTTGGACATTTTTCACGTTTGGTTTAAGTTCTCCTGCTATCTGGGAAATTCTGCTTTGTGCAACGCCCCCAGACCTCTTTGGTTGTGCCTTATCCATTCAGAAAAGTTTTCTCTTTTTGCCCCCTCTGAGTTGCACATTGTAAATCACATTTTCTTTGACATGGACATGGATGGACGTGGCATACTAACAGCTTGTGCAGTTACTAGGTAATAAGGTAAGCTTCGTATTTCTGCTACCAAAAAAAAATAACATTACAGACATCGTCAATCGTCACTATATTTTACTCATTTTAACCGTTTATGGTCATAGAATTGGATATATAAACATATCCACGAAGAAAAAAGAATAGGTTTTATTTGAAAGTATGAAATTTTAAATTACATGTACATTTTCATAAAAAACCTGGACAATTCATGTCCCGAGAAAGAATATTAATTTTCCGGGACAGTTGCTCAAAGAACAGAACAATCTCGGGAAAACGTCAGTCAAAGTTAATATTTACCCCCCTAAGTCCATGCATATCTTTGTGGACTTGTGCTGCTCCTTCTTCACTCCTGCTCTGTGGACACTCAGCTTACCGCGGTAAATATCCCCACAGAGACTCTATAATGGCTAAA